TGACATGGTCTTAGAAGACGTGCGTGATGAGTTGACAATAGGCCTGGATACCACCATGTTCTTCGTTGGTGAGCCCTCCTTTCCACACACCACTGCATGGGTTGATGACATATATCTCCTTTCAGGAACCCATGCTGGCATGCAAGATTTGGCAAGTGTCACCAACAACCAGCTCTCGAGCAGAGGGCTGAGGATTTCTCCAGGGAAATGCAAACTCATCATCAACAATTCAGCCAGCACGGCGCCGGTGAAGCTGCAGGGCAAGGATGTGCATCCAGTAAGTCCGCAAGATCCCGTGAGAGTTCTGGGAGTGTGGATGTCAGGCAGTCAAGGGACCGACGCTCACAGGCCAATATCAATGGGACGTGCTTGGGGGGCTTTCGCATCCTTCCGACATGTCTTCACATGCCATAAAACTAGCTTGGAGGCGAGGGCGCGGCTGCTAAATGCAAAGGTGGGGTCTGTACTTCTGTGGGCTGCAGCCACCTGGCGACCTAGCAAACAAGCCGTTGAAGCAGTGTGCGGGATACANNATGTTGAGGGTACCCCGCCAGCATACCGAGCCTTGGCTTGACTTTCACAGGCGGCGCTTACGTGCTGCATGGCACCTCATGCCTCGGGCAGAAATGTCGCCGCAAAATCCATTTCAGCCCTGGCATATCACGTGGTTCATGAGACGGCATGGATGGCTGGGCCATGCCTCGCGCATGCTCACAGATGCCGCCCAAGCTCTGCGTTGGCGCGACTGTTCCTGGTGGCGGCTGCAGCAGGGACTTCCGGTAACGGGTGTGAGACATCCAGCAAGGTTGCATCCCAGAAGATTCGACTCTGATGTTGCAAAATCCTGGAGCACTCTTCCACAACGTATACGTGGAGGGGCGGGTGATGTGCACGAGCTGGCACAGGATAGAAGGCAGTGGCGCATTGCTGCTGATCATTTCGTGCGTGCTCAGCCTACTGATCCGCGCCTATGCACGTATGCAGATGTTCAGTTCTTCGATGTGTAGATGTAGGTGCAGTGCTGGGGGTGCCCCGATGTGCAGCTGTGCGTCTTTGTGCATCTTATCCAGGCTGCTTTGTACCTGTGTGCTTGTACACGTTATCTGTGCTGCTCTGCAACTGTTGGTGCCTTGCAAAGCAAGGGTCCGCGTGACCCAAAGGCAATCAATCAATCAATCAATCAATCAATCCTCACCCTCACCCATCATCCCGCACTTGATCACAGCCTGCTGTTCGCGAGGCACCCTCGTTTTGCTTGCAATTCTGTACGTATGGGCCTGCTGCATCGCTTGCATCGTAAGCTGCGATGTTCTTCAATGGACAGCTCGCAGCTGTTCAGATTTCACAGCCATGCAAGGCTCGGATTCTGGCACGCGTGTCTGGAATAGTGCCATTCTAGCATTCTATGGCCTTCTGTCATTTCAATGTTATTCTCAATGCTCATTTTTCCACGCATTGCCACAAACTGAGGGACCACTTCAACTGCGTAGTTGAAAGCTCTGTCTGCGGCTCACAGCACTGCTCACTTTTGGTGTGTTGTCAGGCAAAACGCGAACGTGCGCGCGACTTTGCACACATCATTCGCTAGTTCTATGCCTGGCATGATTTTGAAACGGCTTCTTGTTCTTTTTGCCTGCCCCGCAAGTCTTGACGTCTCCCCTTGCTCCTGCTCCTAGTTGCGATCTTGACAGGTGGATACCCATCCTGCGATGCTGCCGTGGCCCTGCCTGTCGACTGCCACAGAGGATTTAAGGAAGCTGCTTCTGATAGCCGAGGATGGGCAAGCATGGGGGGAAACATTTGAAGGTTTGTTCAACATGGCTATGTTGTGTTGCCACTGTATCCCGTCTCCCTCGAGCAACCCCACTTCCTTGAGTGTTGCAACCCTGGCAGCGAACCAGGAGCAGCACTTGGTGAAGCTTAGGCACAGCTGTGAGGACGGGACCGCAAAGGGAAGAAAACAACTTAGACCGCTCACTGTAAGCAGAGAAGGCATGGTTGTTCAGCTCCCTAGTCACAGGATGTCCTGCTGTGCCAGCCGCCTGACGACCTACACGGCCTCAAGGTCACCGCCCAACTCGCTGCCACTTGCTAAGCCCTTTGCTGTAGAAAGTTGTCGTGTAGGGTTGGGGAGGTTCCATGCCATCATAGCTTGAGTTTCTTGCTCACAGAAAGATCCTTTCGCTGTGTAGTCTCATGGATGCTTTGGAAGATCCTAGCCCAGTGCCAAGTTTGCGCTGCGAGGTGGCTCAACGATTTGGCTTGGGCAGACTCGAGGACATGTAATGTATTGGCTGTCTAGAGCTCCTCTCCTATGCTGGCTGAGCTGTTGCATGGCCTTCCCATCCGCAGTTGGGAGACAGAACTTCACAGACTTTTGTGGAACGAACAGACTTCCAGGAGAGATACCGAAAGAGGTATGCTGGCGGCATCTTGCAGTCCCAGTATTGAGAGGCAAACTGTTTGCGTTGTCCGCCCGATCTACTTCTTGCAGCCTTTACAAGCTGCCAGAAGGATGCACCACGCATCCTACGCGTTTCTGCGCTTTGCTTAGTGACTTAGTGTCTCGGGTTTAGAGCAAAGCGTCCCCCCGCGCGGCCCAACCATGCCGAACAAACCACGGCAGGTCAAACAAAATGTAAATGCGGTCTCAGAACTTCTTGCAACTCCGTCACAGGGGGAACCGCAAAGCCTCGAAAGCTAAAGTTTAAGGCCACTGCCTGGAGAGCGTCCAGTCGGAACGTGCACCCTAGGCAGCCTCTTTCTTTTGTGTTCATGCATAGCATAGCAAGCCCAGTCTGGCTGCAACGTACTTCCCGCTCGCGTTATAGTGTTCAAGCCAGTTGTGCTAAAGGCACAATGTTTCACCCGTCTTCTATGTTCCGTATAGTAGCATTCGTAGCATACAGATGAAGAAGCCAAGAGTCTGGAGCGTGGCATCTACTGCTAAGAAGGGCAAATTTGCCTCGGTGTTGCCAGCAGGGACGGAGATTACCCGGCAAGGCGCCACGAATGACTTCAAGAAGGGCCGAATCATGGTGGTCAAGCCGGTAGCTAGGGCCTACATTTTGTCTGGAAGGATGATGCTGAGCCTATCATTAGCGGACTGGCTGCTGAAGAAGAAGTGGCCGATGGTCATCCTAGTTGTGACGGGAATGATTCTGCACGCCCTTGCTTTCTTTGGTATCTTCTCTGAGCTCTACGAGGTTGCAGGAAGCTCAGGCGGGAACAGCCCAAGACAGCATCCTGCTCCCCAGTGTTTATGTCAAACCTGCCCGCCTTAAGATGATCAGATCTGTTTCTGATGAGACGAACATCCATTTGTCGTGATGGGATACTGCTCTGTGGCTGTAGCAACTAAGGTGGGACCGTTGTGGTGTCATCTCCTACAGCTCTTTCATGGTGCATGGCCGCTTTAACTGGGCTTTGCTGGGGACTCTCTATTTTGGCTATGCTGTCAAGGCGACGGGACGCTGCACGGTCTCATGCAACTTTTTCAAGCCTGCTTTGACAACCTTGCACCTGGTAGCTAAAACGACAACCGGGTGATGCTTGTTCAAGATGAGTTCAAATTTTTCCTGCATCATGATTAGCGCCGCAATTTCCTGCCATTCCCTCTCGTGGTCCCAGGCATGCTACACGTAGGCACAGAACAATGAGATAAAAGTAACATCCTACCTCAAAGACGCCAGCAGGGTACATAGCCAGCTGCTTTGGATGACGCTCCGCACCTTCGATCCATGGGCACCATGGCCTTGTACTTCCTGCAGTCAACTGTAAAGCATTTCCAACCTTGTATTGGTATGCTCTGGAGCTCGGGATTTGTTGGGCTTTCGGAAGTTGGAGGGTGTAGTGCGGCACATACGGGCGCGCTTACGATATGGTCGGAGGACCTGCCCAGGCCACCAAGGTGTGCACCGCACCGTTCTCGACATATTTTATGGTCAAATGTGTTCCATGAATCGCAGCGATTCAAGATTGTGGAGGCTCACGATTCCATGAGGGTGTGAATTTCTTAAGGCATAACTCCAGATTTTGGCGTGCTATGTTGCTGTCAAAAGGACCTGAGCCCAGACCGACTAACTGTTTTGGCGGCGCCCATTCCATCGACTACTGCTTGCACCTCCGATCTCGTCTGAGTTCTGATTGTCGTTCCATGCCAATACTCGCTTGCTTGAGTGGGCTGGTCTGCTTTGATCAGCTTGCATCCCATGTGATTGATCTCCTGTAAGTTGATCGAACGGCCGTAAGCTCAAAGGGCGATGACACTGTTCGCTAGAGGAACTTTGGGATAGTTTGCTGACTTTGCCTCTGATGAAGCGGCGTTGGAAACTTTTACAAAGCTCCACAGGACGCATTCACTGCCAAACGCACGTTCGGCTTCAGTCAAATCAAGAAATCCACAAAAGTTCCGCGAGCGCGCAGCGCAAGTCAAAGTAGGCTAAGTAAGCTCTCGTCATATCCAACGGTAGTTGTACCTTAAGAACCACCTTAACAGTGTTTTTTACAAGACAGGCTGCAATTTGGGCTTAGGGCTTTGGTACTGTTCAATGATCAGTATCCAGGCTTCCTCCAGGTCTTGAAAATCAGGGTGTAGGGTTTTGGTCCAATATGTTACCGGGAAAGTCGGTGGCAGTATAGCGAGAGGAATTTTGGAGGTAGCAAACAGGGGAATTTTGCAATGAAGAGAGCGCTAGCCAATACTCACATAGGAGCTTAAGGTTAGACCTGAAGCATGCGTGAATCAGAGAGTTCAAGCGCCATGACTCGGCTTTGGGCTCAGGCGATTATCACTTGCGCTCTGCGCGGCTGGGCTGCTCGAATGTTCTCGCGACAATCTCTGCACCACGACTCAGCTCACGTAATAGAGGACCAAGTCAGCATGCCGGCTGAGTGCTGCGTAGCTCAACATCCCCCTTTGCTGTCCAAGTCAGTGTGCTGTTTTGTTGCGTCGTGCGGTAGTTTTGGTAGCTTAGTATAATCCTGTATGGTGGGCAAGTGCGTTGGAATGGAGGACATTGTCGATTTGCTCGTGATGCTGGAGTTGTCAGCCCTCATCATCCTTGCAGAGGCAGCCGATGTAGCCAAGCTTACGCAGAAGATTTTTGTGGCAGCTTGCTTCGTCTACTGCTCGGTCCTTTCTGCTGGGCCCATGTTCTTATCAAACCTCCCCAACTGGGATCCAGATGCAAGCCTTCAATTCCTTTTTTTTGCATCAATGACGCCAAAGAGTCAATTTATCAGCGCCTATGGCACCATGGCAGTGCTCTTGACGAAGGCGGCGGTGAGCATGATTTTGCAGAAGCATGATTTTATGTTTCTGAGATGTCACTTCGAATATTGCCTGGATCAGCTCGATACCTCCTTTGCAAAACTGGCTGCAACAGACCCTTCCTGCATCTACTATTCGGACTTTCGTCGCGCTCTGCAGGAACTTGGGGTGTCCGACAGCCATATCTTTGCTGGTTTCAACACCTTGGACATGCATCAGACAGGGCGCGTCACCCTGCCGAACTTCCGGCGCTGTCTGAAGGATGTGTTCACGGAAGCCCCGGACTCTTCCCATGCAACGTTGCTCGCCAAGTTCTGCCAGGAGGCGTTCTGCAATGTTTCTGGATATGGCTCCCTCGACAGTATGTTGGGCTTGGTCTTGAGCCAATGGCGAAGGATGAAGATGAACGAGTTTGGTCAGCTTTTGTACCACTACTTGATGCAAGATCCCGGGGTGGAGCGGCTCTTTCGCACCGCGAGCTTTAGAACCCAATCTTTGCTCTTTGCATCATTTGTTCAAGTTGGCCTTGGTGGGCTTGAGGAGAAGGACTTTCGGCGTGTGGAGCGAGATATGATGTCCCTGGGAATGCGGCATGTAAGTTACGGCGTCCATCCAAGCCACCTCTGTATATTTCAGTTGGCGCTCTTACGTGCACTGTCCAACCGACTCAAAGGCCTTCCCGCAGATGCCGAGATGGCCTGGTCAGTTGTCTGGCTGCATTTCATTGCGGCCCCCTTTACGCAAGGGCTCCTTAGCATGGTGGATACTGACAAGAAGACGGTGACCAACACGGTGCGGGATATTTTGCAGCAAGCTACCTGCCACAAAGCCTTCATCCCCAGCCTGGCCGCCAACTTGAACAACGTGCCGGGAGGTGAACCCAACTGGAGCGAGTCTGTCTTCCGGGATGCAGGACATGAGTTAAGCCACATGGTGATACTAGTCTCCTTTATTCAGGACACGGCAGATGCTAGGATTTGTGCAGCAAGATGTGGGCTTTGCTGGTGGGATCCTAGCCTAAGCGTATGGTTATGACAAGGGCCGCTTAATATTGCTTGGCATGCTTCAGCAAAGGAAAAGCTGTATGCTGGCGAGCTGCTCAGCGCCCGGCAGAGGTCCACCCAAGACAAGCAAGTCCAAACATCCCAAAACCAGCGGCCTGCAACTCAAGACCATACACCCCGAATGGTCGAAATGCAAGCTTCGAATATTTAGCTCTCTGAATGCACACTGATGGTACTCCGGCACCCGACATACTCCGACACCCGACATGTCCTAGGCAGGCTGCAAATATCTAGTTTGGAGCCTTTTGTTACCCCCAACATCACAAACCCCATGTATCTATCTATCTAACCTGCCTCCTATTCCCAGAGACAGTAGGGATGCAGCATACAGCATGCGTATGGATTTGTAGAACCTTTCGCCTTAGTACCTATCTATCCCCTTCCTCCCAAACCTCCCAGATACAGGGATACAGATGTGGTGTCCCCACGGCAGCATCCTCTTGTATTTATATATTCGCCTCCCCATTACTCACCTAGACGACATAGGTTGTCGTCTGCCTGTATATGGTGTTCTCGCGTTAGTATCTATCCCCTGCCCCTCCAGATGTAGGATGTAGATTGTCGTCTCCTCACGACAGTATCTATCTGACCCCCAGACCTCCGTGTCCAAAACGTGCATGCGACGCGAGAGCAGAGTTCCCACCTGAAATGTGAGGATGCCCCACCCGAGAGCATCGTTTCCGTCCAACATGTGAAGACGCTTTATGCGAGAGCGGTTTTACCGACTGGGGTGTGAGGACGCTCTCTGCGAGATGGAAGTTTTCGACTGAAAAGTGAGGAAGCTCCACGCAACAGCATGGTTTTTGTTCAAAACTCCCGCCATCAGACTACCCATCTGTCTACCTCCTCTCCACCCCAGAGGGAGAGATAGATATAACTGAAATAACCCACTCTTCAGTATCTATCTCAATGTCTACCCACCAGGCTAGATATCCTGGTCACGCTCAGTAGCCCCTCCACATGGAAAGAATCCAGGCCGTGCGGAGATGTGATCGATTATTGCCTTGTAGCTGTCTATGTATCTATCTCTCTCCTTTCCACCGCCCGTCGTCAGACTACCTATCCCGTCTACACCCCTTCAGAAGAATGAATTTTCCCCGGCCCTGTCAGCAATTTCTAACTGCCCGCTTCCCTCAGATGAAGCATAGGTAGATATCAGGCATCTACGTATGCATAACTGTTTGTGTCTGTCTATTTGTCTGTCCGTCTATCCATCCTCTTCCCCCCCCCCGGGCCCCTCAGGGCTTCCTGCCCGTCCCCCCTCCCCCTCTCTCGTTCTCGGTAACTTCATGGCCCTATGACGTTAGTAATCCGTTTTCGGAGGGATGCAGGATACGCAAGGTACTACCTGACTGGCAAACGTGTTGCGTGGCCTCAAGAGGCTTCGGCAAGTTGCCTCGATTCACTGGGACCGTGGCGTATTTCCAAGGCACATGCTCACGTTCCAGCAGCTCTGCCGCACAGATGTCTCGTTCTAGAATTCCTAGGGGTTGAGGAGATTATGTTCGGGCGGGAAGGCGGGCCAGATCAGATTGCAAGTGCTGATCAGTGCCGATTTCTGTAGCCTTGACTCAGATATCTAACTTAGGGTTTCCAAGTTCTGAAGATCCCATACAAAACTCGAAGACTTTAAGTTTGTACCCTTCATGTTTGTAACCCTAGGTTTTGGGTTCCAAATACCCTTATCAAGGGCCATATTGCATGGTTTAGGGACCCAACCCAAGAGTACAAACCCTAAGGGTACCAGAAAACTCCCTGGAAAACAGTTTGCGGTTCTAGTAATCGGTGACGGATTTTCAAGGGTGACGGATTGAAAGCAAATTCCAGGCCGTCAAGGCAAGCAGTGTGTAGTTGCCTGGCAAGCCTAGGCATGCGGCTACAATGACGTTGCGTGAAATTCTTGGTCCGGAGGCTGGCCTCTAGCCGTGATAGGAACTTCAACGCACATGCAAAAGTGTTGTGGCAGTGCGTCCTCTTCATGTATCAGATCTACGGATCAGGAGATGTGGGCTGCTAGAAAAAGTTGTTTGAAGATTTGGCATGTTTTACGATTCCTCGCCTGGTCTGGTATTATCGTGAAGTCTTTCCTAACAGCTGTTGTTTTAGGTCAAGCTTTCCTGACGAGTACTTACGGCATATGCGGGGAACCCTGGAATCTTTCGGGATTTCGATGCATTTCCTAGACTTCACCAGGAGGGTTCTGGGTGGGTGTCCCCTCCGACCTCGAAGGGGTGACACGAGTTAAATGAGCGCTTCTTCATGATGTTGTCTTCAAGGGGAGGCGATGTTTCATCGATTCTCTGACATTTCTGACTGCCGTGATCCACGCGCAACCGCCTCCTGAATTCTTTTGCGATGAATCTCTATGGGGTTCCAGGGAGGCCTTATCCAGCAGTTCTACTGCAATCCTGACCACTTGCCAAGCCTGCCTGCAACAAACGTGCGAAACCGAGTACCTGCTCACGTGTCTTGCAGCTCTTGTAGATTTACCTGGTTTGCCCTTTCCTGTATCGTCTGTTTGGGAAGCTTTTATCGGCAGTCTGCTGGTCACCAAACAGCAGTCTGACTTTTCAGCTCCAATCCTGATCACCAAACATGCGCACTCGCTGCAGCCAGGTGTTCACTAGCCATGCAGAGACCATGTGGGCTCTCTTCTTCCAAGTCGAGGCGAAATGTTTGTTGACCTGCAACACGACCTGACATCGGTATGTCAATTTCAAGGCAAAATGCATTCCGACGTACCAAAACACAAGAAACACTGGCAAGGATCCAATAGCCGTCCAACATGCATTTCTGAAGGTCTTGGATGTTCTTCTCCTGGCACCCTTTGCTGAGACGCAAGACAAGGCTGGATGTGGGCAGTGATGAGATTCATACAGCTTCCACGTGGAGAGCTTGCCTATCCACCTCAAATAGCTTTCAGGACCCGCTCGGGTTCTACAATTAACAGCAGCTCAGGTGGAAGGCTGGGCGCTGAACTGCCACAAGCACTTTGTGGCTTGGACGGTGCCAAAAGGAGTTTCTACAGTTTAAGGCTTGAAATGCTATGCAGGGGCTGAAAACTGTCCAAATCCCCACTACCGCCCCGGTGCTCGTAGCCCAAGGTGGACAAAGAGTCCTGGCAGTCTTTGATGAAAGTGGCTGCCATTGATCGAGACCTTGCTCTGAAAGGGTATCAGCGCTTGTGTGCTGAGAGCGGGAAGGACATTGACAAGTTATGTGTCGACGATGTTGTCAAGACATTCTGTGATGAAAGCAGCGTGGACGATGTTTTAATCTGGATTTCATGTGTCAGGTGGCAGTCAGATTATGCACGTATGGCACTTGGCTATCACCATGAACCATGAACCCCACTCTAAGTCCCCTTCTGATCACTGAAGCAAAGCAAGCGAAGCCTGAGAGCCAAGGCATGCAGCATCCTTCCTGGACTTTCGACCGCGTCGTTCAGAACTATTGCACGACACCGCCAGCTGTGGCCCTGTTGGAGTAAATAGGCCTTCTGCTGCTCCCTGAAGATGGAAGAAGTGCACATGCTCTTAAGTTCTTAGAATTTACATACATCAGTCCACACCATCAAAACAAAAGAAACCGTGCTAGCGTCATGCGTCACGCTTCTAGCGCAATTTTGTGCGCTGCTTGCTACCAGTACTTTGCCAACGCAAAAGTTTGGCCCAAAATCTATCAGGCAAAGCTGGCAAGCCTGAAAGATTTTGGGTTTGCCAGATGGTGACCTCTCAGAGAGATGACACCATGGCGGTTCCATATGCCCTCCTGACTGCAGGGGTCAGGCAACGCATCGCCGCAGTGTCCTCAAGTTCAGTGCGGCTTGTTTTTTTTTAAAGAGACTTGGTAGAGGAGCAGTGCGACCAGTTTCAAAGTTACATCTATTTTTTGCACCTGCAGATTTGTCAACTTTGCATGATGCAGTCAGCCGGATAATCCATGAACCAGTTATGACATGGCCATATTGTTTGACGATTGTATTGTTTCACAGCAGCCAATCGTAAGCGCTTGTGCATGACCTGCTCCTGCAAAGTCGGCACGACATCTGCGCCCCACTCCCGCAGACCTCTTGCTGAGCATTTCAGCTCGTAGCCCGAGCTACCGTCATTTTCATTGTAACTTCCTGCAACATTTTGAGTTGGCACAAAAGTGCACTCTAGAGTGAACAAGTGCGAATGTGGGCTTCCTGCCCTTCAACAGCCCACAGAACTAGGCGGTTGCTCGTCAAGCGTTGAGATGCGTGTATCCCACAAACGTGGTAATTTGGAGCTGGGTGGGATTCCTGCCCATGACCTTTCCAGGCCCCTTGTGAGGGCTTACCTCGCCGAGCTTGTCTTCTGATGTAAAGTAGAGCAAGAACATCTATTCTCTGTCTCCGGTGCGAGAAGAAGGAGCGGCAAGCACGGAGCAGGATGCCGTACCCGCACCGTCCAGACATCCTCGCTGCATGGTCAAAACATGATTCACAAGAATTCTTCTTGACAAGCTGAGAGTTTCTATAGGGGTTGGTTAGACTGTAATCTTGCGCTCTGTTTAAAGGGAGTTATATAGGAGATTATATTTAGAGTATAGCTCAAAGGGGGCTCCCCCCACCCCCTAACAATAGGGCTCCCATCATTAAAGAGAGTCCTGAAACAAAAGGCCCAAAGTCTCTTGGCAAAAATGAGTACAACATTACTCCAGAGCCAGACTCCAAAGCTATGCAAAAAATCCTTCCAGCTTCCTGTCGGGCTTGTCAAACCTTCGCTCACTATGGCTAGCGCACCCCAAACACTGAACACAATTTGAGTTCCAATCCATACCGCTGTTGTTGGCTTTTGAGTTGGAGGTAGATCCAAGTAGGTGTAGGTGTCCATGGGTGCTGTGCAATGGCAAGCTTGCAGGCGGGCACGATTACCATTGCCATGCTCCGTGTTGCACATGCTAACCAGAGTTGCTTGGCATACTCATGGTTGCCTAGATCTGATTTGAAGCCTGGATCACGGGCCTGCCTAAGGGCTGTTGACAAGGAGAAAAGCCTTGTCATCATCCGCTTGTGTTATGTGTGATTGTCAACAGCCAGGAATTCATACCATCCACCCTTCTGAGCCGAATCATCTTCAGAAGTGTAAGCATCCTGCACCTTCCTGAAGCACAGGGACACATATGCAACCTCTACCCCGAATCATGCAATCTCATGCTGTCTCCCAGCTGCTCAAGTGCACCGCCGCACGTTGGCTCAAAAGGGGTGCCGGGCAAGAGTTTCCTTGTGGCACCCCAATCCCGCCTTTGGGCTGCAATTGTAAGGGTTAAGAGGGTTGAGAGGTCGAGCTTTCAGGGTTAATCCTTTGGAGTTACGGATGCGTCTTTGATGTGATTGTTCAGGGAAAGCAGGAGCTCCAGCTTGAGTAGCATGACATGTTCGACGAAGAGAATCCTTCAGGCGAGGTTTACTTCTGAATCAACTAAAAAGTAGCTTTCAACACCTTGCTATCCTCGAAGCACCCGTGAAGAGCGAGTGTTTCTTGCTTGATATGTTCTGCATGTCCTAGCTCACCTCAGCCCTGGCAAGGCGTCAAAGAAGTTCAGGCCACTGCAACATCCGCAGCGAAGCTCAGTGTCCCCAGCGTCGAATTGGAGGTTGCTCGGGGGCCGTGGCCTCGGATAGCTTCAAACTTTTTGCAAACAAAATGAGCATGACTGATTTGCTGATTGGAGCCAGGTTGCGGTCTGTGATGTGTTTTTGTGTAAATATTTTGAGGCATGTACGTTGGATTGCAAAGGGACACGCGCACTCTTCTAAGCCTCGACTTACATATGCCGTCCCGCAAAAATGAGTATGGCAATGAATTACGATCCTGTGGGCTTTTGCAAAGGCATGTTCGGATTTCAGAGTACATTTGGGCTTTTGTTCCAGTACAAGTACATCTGTTCACAATACGCATGGAAGCCTCTGGAAGCAAAAGGCACAACAACCTCTCACACTGGCTGTCAAAGACACAAATCCTCTTCTCTTTTTGTGAGGATGTTCTGTGATGGTGTAATGCTGACCAAACACCAGTATACCCCGCTGGGTTCTGCTGTGATAGCCTTAAAAATGTTCGCAGCATTTCTTCGCTGAGCCAAGACAAAGCCTGGAGGCCAAAGTCCGCAAAGGTTGTGCCGGATTTGAGCTGCGGCCATCACCGACAGGACATTCATTGCAGCGCATGTGCGACTAAAGATGTAATGTAAGTGAAGCCGTTTTCGTTTTCTGGAATTGCTTCTGACACAAGCATGATGGACACACCTATGAGATCTGAAGAGCAGTGGCAACAAGCCACGCTCGTGAGTCATCCATCGTTTGTACAGCTCCAGGCGCCTCGTGGCTGCGGCCTGCTTGGGATGATTTTCCCCAACGCGGGCTCCCTGAGCCTACCACCCACACGCTTCGCCCTGAAAGCGCGACCCTATTTCATTGGGCTTCTGGGAGTGCCCTGGATGAGGTTTCAGTTAGCTGACTTTGCCTCTTAAAGCTTCCGGAGATCATACCTGGGAAGTTGAACTGTGGCTGTTGCCCCTTACTGCTGCGTGTAACTGAAACTTGAGCAGATTCTTAAGCCAAGGTGCAAGCTGTGCTGATGGTGGCAAGGTGCCTTGCCATGTTGGAATAGACGGTGAAGAGGGAGTTCTACAAGCCCTTGGGGCTACTCAGCATTGTGGCATGCTGTCATGCTACCTTCTGCTTCGTGCTCTGGGATGCCGTGACTTGCATAGTAGTCCTTGGCTTGCTCACTCTTTTACTGAGCCACTGAGTCTTGCTGAACCAAGTTGGCTCCCTTTAGTTTGAATTCTTACTCTGTGGTTGCTCTTCCCTTCGCAGGGAAAGGCATTTTTTGTTTCAGTTTCGTTGTTAGTTTGATGGCCTTTTTGGCTGTCACTTGTTTGTCTCAACTTGACGATGCGCGGACTTTTCGAAGGCGCGCATCTGGAACCATGGCGTGGGCTACTGCTGAATGATTGCATGATGGCTTAATGTCAAAGGTCAGTCATCTTTCATTCAAGAGCTGATTGACCCGTGACAGACGCCGACCCCAACTATCTAAGCCTAAGCCATCCCAGCTCTGATGCTCCTTGCTGCATCGATTTGCTACAGCACTCTAGCTATCTCTAGCTAGCAGCTGCCTCCACGCGAGCAACACACCCAAGATAGAGCTCTTTCATAGAGAGGTTCGTAAAAGTCATACTTCACCTGGCAGAAGCGAAATCTTTTCTTCGACAAGCCACCCCAAATATCAAACTGGAGGTTTCTCATCTTGGATGTGTGGGGCGCCTTGCTCTCGCTGCTGATTCTAACTCTGGGAACCTTCGTGCTGTCCACTGGGGCAGGCCCGATTCCTTCCAGATTCCTGCGGGGCAGCCCTTTTGAAAAAGGGTGGCTTCTTTGCAAAAGGTATCCGCGGATGTCACGTCTGAATACTCTTACTTTTAAGTGTGGGGAGGCGTGGACACCGGCTATTGCCTGTACTACGGCCGCTTGAATGTTGGCAGAGCTGCGCCCAATCCCCCATTCGCCCGCGATTGGCATTCCTGTAAGCTGCAAACTTGTGAGAGTCTGCTTGGCCAGCTGATAGCAATCAGGGCAATTTTCTGTCGTGTATAAACTGCTAGATCCAACAAACTGAGGTCTGATGTGCCTGGTGAACGGCATCTTTGATGCGATCCTCTTTCTAGAGAGGGCCATTCACGTCAAGTATCCCTTGTTTTCCAGGAGTCTGGGAGCCCAATCCTCACAGAAGATTCATGGAGCAGTGGTAGCTACTAGGAACCCCTGAAGGCAAGCTCCTGCGGTGTTCAACGCCGCTTCTGGTGTTTTCTTGGTGTGCCCGATCATCGAGCTAGCTGCAGCAGCCTGGTAGAAGTTCCTGCTCAACTCATACCGCAGAGAGCATGTACTGGAAATTTGCCTCCAATCATGCCTTCTTGGTGGTCGCAGTGCTTGAACTGGATAGAGCACGTGATGCACTTCATACTGTCTCATTTCATCTTACTGCCTTGGCTTTAGCAAGATGTCCGTAATGCAGGCATCGTCCAAGCTGTGCATATTGGCGCTAGCACATTGATAGCGGTCAGAATCGAGCTGTTGTGGGACAAGGTAAGATTTTGGTCCTGGCGCGTGGCAAGTCTTTCCCCTTCAGCTTGAAACATTTCATCAACCCCGCCCTGCCATGTCAGGCTTATAGTTTGAACCAACATGTTGCGGGATCTCCCGCAATCCGTTCACCGACGGTCGTGTTAAGGCTTCATTGGCTGCGGCGATCTACATAGAGGCATCCGAACAGGCGCTCGAGAACGACAAGGGTTCATCAAGCATTTTCCTGGAAGACTCAAGGTATGTTTTTCAGAGCATGGAGGGGTCTCATAAATAGGATGTCTGCAGGCGTAGGTACTTCAACTGGCCTGAAGATGCATGTGTTTGTCCTCAGATTTAGAGCTAATCGGAGTGAGGAGTCCAACTACCGATATCCGGGGGTGAATGGCAAGTGAGGCCTTTGAACTTCGGCCCGCGCATCGCAGCAGTGACTAAATGCCCAGATGCCCTGGTAATGCCTCAACTGCCACATCAGGAAAGCCGGCTCCTGATGCCCAGCCTGCAGCAGCTGGACTTCGGCTCTGCCCAAGAGGGCGAGGCCGATTGAGTGCAGACACTGAGACTGAGCTGTGTTTATATCATCACTTTATCTCCGAGTGGCCTGGAGAGCATTTGCAGCAGGCCCGTCGCCAGTCGGAGCAGTTCCAGGCTTTCACAGGCTTGGCAAATTCTTCTCTGTGCCATCACCCTTAGCCAGGATTAAAACCGAAGATCGCATCAAAAGCACCTCGGGTACTGGCAGGCCGCAGCTACCACCTCTGAAGTCTGAGAGGTGGCAGGAGGATGCTTCTGCTGCAAAGAGGTTTATTCCTTGCAGCTTCAAAGCAAGTTTCCAGACCAGATGTGCTAATCTGTGTCATCTGTGTTGTTAGGAGAGTCCTAACTGTAGTGGCCGCGCAGCAGCGTGTTGCAAAAAGATCGAGTCGACGCAGCGGTGCTCTTGATGCTCGGACTGGTGATTTTGACAGGCTCCCCAGCTGCCGATTTCGCTGCTGACTGCGGTGGCGCACCAGAGGCAAGCGCTGTCCCACGCCAAGAGTGCATCAACGCATCGAGTTCAAGTGAGGCCATGCAGAGCCTCGTCGCATGATTCCCAAGCTCCGCGGACAGGGCCTCAATGGGGCAAGCACAGAGGCCTATTGAATCGTGCTATTGTCCACCAAGGCGCGTCCTTAAACCTGAGGCCAGACTGCGGCCAAGATGCTCTTGTGTCTGACCAATCCGATGCGCTAGGAGTCCTTGGCCAGCCTCGCAGCAGGGGCAGCCTCTGTTTGGTCGCTCTCTGCCTCGCCCCAAGCTTGTTTTTCCCTGCGCCGCCAAAATCCAACCTCAAGCTTCAGGCCCTTCGCCGCCACCGAACGCAGCTGTCGGCCAGCGTCCTGGACTCTCACAAGCTTGAAGGTCCAATTTCAAGAGCGGTCTGTGAGCTGTTGAAAACATCTTAGGCCTTGTCATTACTCCAGCGCCTGTTTGCCAAAGAGAAGTCGAAGGCAGAATGAAGCTCCCGGATCGCTGAACATAGCTGAGGCTTGTCTCAACTCCTTAACTCCGAGATAAGGAAATGTATCATGCCTCACGCCACTAAGGTTTAGAACTTCTCTCACTGTTGGCCTGCCACGGCTTTCTGATTCTTACGACGTAGGTGGAATGAAGTAAGTTTCTCAGTTTATCAGCAGCAGAGCTCCAGGTCTTCAAGCTCGTATGATCTGTAGTGGCCATGCAGGTTCATTCAGCTGAATCCACCCTGAGCAGCCAGCGTGCCGTTTTCATTGCTGCTCTGCCAGGCTGAGTGCATTGATGACGAGATTGCGGACATGCGCCGGCAGGAGGAGGAGGAGCCGCTTCGGGGAGGCATGCGTACTCTCTTCAGCTTGGGAGCTGTGGGTTTAGCGATGCGCGTCCTCATCTGTGCACACGGAAACGTTTCAAAGGATTGTGGCGCTTCTTGAATATGGGGCTTCTCCAGGGATGTCCGCGATGCCGCAGGATGGGTTAACTGAACCCATCGATTACAGGACCTTGTTGTATTGAGGTTCCGGCCAAAACAAGTGCGAGTTGCTTCTGCTTGAGACTGTGACAAGACCTGTCTTTTGGGCCCGTGTGACAAGACCGGTCTTTGAATTATGGGCCCGCTTCGGGCTTGAAGCAATGCGTACTGATCAGCCCAACCTTCGACCTGTTGTTCGGAGCTACGATTTCGATGGTTTTCATCATCAATGACGCAGTTGGATGCCCTGTGAGCTCAAGGAGCTCAAGAGGCTCTATGGGCCCAAGTCGTGACCAAGTCGTGACAGGACCTCCAAAACCTGCACAGGGAGCTGGGCAGCCAAGCACCCAGTCCTCTCCTCGGCTGGTTTGGCCACAACACGGGAGTGGTGCAGGAATCATTGCTGGGTCTCGTTGGGACGCGCAGGTGAGCAGGATCTCCGGGTCGAAGCGCTTCGACGTCAACAGGAGAAGCTTGCAAGGCCATGCTGCGGTAATCATACTGGCATCAATGGGCATGGTCTACGTGTGCTGACGAGCATTTTCATGACTTGCTATAGCAAGATAGTGACAGCTCCCTTCATGGACTGCAGGCCAGTAGGCGCAGATCAGCCTCGACTCTCAACTCCCCGCGTGTATTAGTCTCTCCACATCCGGAGCTCTGTCTCTTGCCAAGGCTTGTTGGCTTCAGGAAGTCTCGACGCGGGGGCGCTCGCAGGACTCCAGGGTTGCAGGAACAAGCACACGAAGAGCCAGAGAGAGGCTCAAGCCACTACCACATCAAGCCCCTGCGAGCACTCTTGCCCTTCAGTGTAGTTTTCTCCCCCCTTCTGTGAGCTCCAGGGGGCTGTAGAGCAACAAATCCTGCGCTGCTTCTCTCCATCGGTAGGGGCAATTGACCACAAGGGCAAGATCAAACACTAGGCGTTTTCCCCATTGCCAATCTGTTCAACATCACCTACCAGTTTGGAGCACACCGTGATCAGTTGCTGCGCCACAGGCCTTTAACCCGGTTCAGGGCAACCTCTACGGCAACTTTCTCAGCATTCCCTACACTGGGTGAGCCGGGACAACATATACCAGTCCGTGACTGTGGCCAGGACACCAACGAGGCAATCTTCACCCTGGAAGGCGGAGTCAGAGGCCAGAGGAAAAAAGGCCACCCAGCAAAGGATGGCGACCAAGACAGGGGGGACCAACCCCTTGGGCAACGCAATAGACGTCGACTTGGAAAGCCCAGCCAACAAGAGACCATGTCCCTCACCGGCAAGCTCCGAAGGCACACCTTTGACGCTTGAGCTGTTCCAGTCACCCTTGATCGCTCAGTGGGAAAGCTTGACACCAGGGTGGGACAGGTTGAGTCTGCATTCACTGAGCGCATGCAGGAACAGGTGAACCTCCTCACAGCCATCACGAACACTCAGAGCCAACATACCACGGATTTGATAGCACTGCAGCGCCAAGAAAAGGTCAACACTGAAAGCATCACCTCCATTCAACAGCGTTTGGACAAGCTCGAGTCGAATCCACCAAAGCAACCTCACACCAACTCCACAACAGCAGTGGAAGACAGGCAACCAGCACTAATGATGGGAGGACAGTTAGCAAAGGACACGGTCGCCAAGATGCAGCTTGACATAGACATGGAGGGGGTGTTCGTGCCAGGGGTCCGCAGAGGATACCTCGTAATCCCCTACGCGACCCACAACAACCAGACAGAGGGCAACATGTTTGGCCGCCTCACAGCAGCAATCCAAAAAGTGAGGAGTGCGAGAAAGGCAACAGGGGCACTCAACCCAGATGGCTCACCCAAGCACCTGTGGCTGGGTGGCTGGCATATTCTCAAACGCCAGAGCGCAGAAGGCGAGCAAGATACGCTGGCAAAGTCAAGCGGCTGATGTTGGAACAAGGGGCGGAGAAAGAGGACATCCAGGTGGAGTTTGCTACAGGAACTTTGTGGTGCAAGGGTCGGCGAGTGGCAAGTGCCACGGCACCACCTCCACATGGGCAAGCCACCGCCAAATCACAGGGTGGCTCGACACGGAAGCGGTGGCAACCTTTACAGGCAAGACCAAGGAGACGATCACGGCAGCTCTCGGCCCACTGCTGCAGCAGTGACGCAGGAAAGCCACCACAACCCCCAAGCAACAGTTTCACGCAACACTTGCTACGTGGAACCTGGGAGGGACCTCTTTAAAAGAAATTCCTCACTGGTTCCACCAACTGGAAAATCACCCTCAACTGGGCAAGATTTCGGTATTCATGCTTCAGGAAATCATTCTTGAAGAAGATGGCCTCCAGTGTTGCAGCCAGCGCAAGTGGACGGTTCTGTCGCACAAGTCACAGTCGGAGGAGGGGTACAGGCATCGCCTTTCACGCATCCACAATCACGCGCATCGACACTCCCACCATAGCCACAGCAAGCATAGGGGCCACCTTACACACAAGCACGGGGGGCAGCATCCATGTGATATCAATACACCTGCCACACCACGCCACTTTAGAACAGACCCATCGCCACCTACAGCAATGGCAAGCCAACCATACCCAGCTGCAGCAGCACCCATGCATCATAGGAGCAGATTGGAACGAGACATTCAATACAGAAAGCCAAACAGCAGCCACTGCAAGGGGAGACCTCATTTTGGACTGGCTCTCACAGCACAACCACCACCTCCCACCACAACATCACAACATACCCTCCTATCACCCTTACAGCGCACAAATGCGCAGCCGCCGCCTAGACTGCATTAGCACACCCAGGAAAGTCACGCAAAGCATAAAGCCAGTGGAAGGGTCCAGAGACTTCGCTCTCAGTGATCATGAAGCAGTAGTGGCAACAGTCGCGTGCAGAGACAAACAGGAAACAACCACCCAGACATTTACACACCATCCCATGAAGCTCAAGCATTTGGGGGTCAAGCTCCCACACCCCCCCACCAATGCGCACCCTTGGGACAGCCTAGCAGCCATGGCGCGCGCCATCACGGAAGCATACCCCAAGACCAAATTCCAAGAGAGCAGGCAACTCAAGCAACACAGACACAAGCTCACAACTGGGCAGATCCCACAGGACCAAACAAGACAACGCTGGAAGCTGATCCAGGCAGCCCATAAACGGGAGAAGAGACGTTGGGGCCACGCTCAAGCAGTACGAGCAGCAAAGGGGGATTGGCAAGCATACAAACAGAGCAAGGATAAGCCGCAGCAAATGCAGTGGGGGCACAGGCTCATCACAGCACCGCGCTGGCAGCAGCAAATGACACAACATTTTGAGGCAATCTTCAAACAGCAACCAGCAGACCAGGTTGCCAGTGAGTTCCAACGAATGAGGAAACTCCTGCAAACAAGATGCAAGCACGCGCCATACAACATTGTGGAGGAAAAAGAACTACGAGCCATCCAGGAACGATGGAAGCGGAAAAAAGCAACGGGTCCAGATAGAGTGTCCAACGAGGCACTGGCTTTCTTCCTCTCCCAAAAAACCACGGCGTCCAAACTCATCTGGGTGCTTGATGACGCCCTGTGCAAGGGCAACAGCCCCTCACAAGGATACCAGGACGTCACAGTCTTGCTCCCCAAGACAGCGCAGCCATCCAAGTGGAAAGACACACGGCCAATCACGTTGAGCAACACCATAGACAGGACAATGGCACAGCTCTTACACAGATGCAACCACATCCTACAGCAACAGCCACCAGTCCACCAGTTTGCACGCTCAGGCAAGCAAGCAAGTGAATTGCTCACCACAATCAGGAGAATGGCGGGGGTGGCCAGGGATTGGGGCTTCGACCTATGGATCCTCAAAGTAGACATCAGGAAAGCCTTCGACACCATCAAACAAACATCGGTTGCAGCCATGGTAGCAAGCAAGCTACAGCGCAGGAAGGCCAGGACACAACACAAATGCCACCGCAGTCACCAACAACAACAATCCACACCCAGCAAACAGAGATTGCGCAACCGCAGCCACAACCACAACCACCACAGCAACAGAAGCAACAAGCGCAGTGACACCAGTCAACGAAGCGGCGGCAGAGCAGGACGACCCAACAGATGAGACAATACACATGCAAAAGTACCTGCAAAAACAAGCCAGGACACCACAGTCACAACAAGACAAGGATAAAGCGCCAGCAGATGAAGACCAACAGAAGCAGCAAGCCATGCAAGAGCCAGCCAACAAGGAGGCAAGCCAGCAGCCGCATCATCAGAAGCCACACAATCAACAGACTGGCGAACAAACTCAGTCGACAAAGCCAACAGCAACCAAAGCAAAGCCGCCAACAAGGAACACCGAAGCCTGCCAACAACCAGCACACTCTCTACCACCACCACAGGAATCAAGCAGCAGCAGCAGCCACGACGTAACAGCAAGCCACGCGCACCACCACACCCATTTTGTCACCATTCTGGGCCACGAACCCCCCCTTCACTGCTCTCCAGCACGGCTTACCTGTGCTGAGAGACTTACTGAGCTACCAAGTGAGGGCCCAAGCCAACACACAACAACCACCACAACACATGAGGAGCTGCAACTATCTTACCAGATCGCACAGGCCCTCACCACACAGATTCGGCGCATTACAGCCAGGATACTCCAAACACATGCAGTTGGGCAAACACATAGCACACACCACCACAATGACGTCATAACACTAGACTCTCAAGAGTCAGAGACCCCTGCAGAGCCCGACACACTGCCGCAGCAAGAAGCAAACCAACAGCAATAGCCACAGAGCAGCCAAGAAGCAACACAACCGTGGCCAACACCAACACAACAAGTGAGAGAACCACCGAAGCAAGCACGCGATGCAACAGCAGCAGCAGCAGCAGCAGCAGCAGCAGCAGCAGCAGAGCATGGGCAACAACAACAACAACAACAACAACAACCGCCACCACACCAGCCACCTCAGCCTCCGCCACCTTTGCCAACCACCATACAGCAACCATGGTGGGTGTTAGGCATCCATGCAGACAGAGCGAACCAACCAATCTACCCCACAGGCGATGGAACAAGTTCAGAACCAACCACCACCGGTCAAATGAGCAACCAATCCATACCACACCGCAAAACAACATACAAGCGGCAGCCACCACCAAATGTGCCAAGCACACAACCAGCGATGCTAACCACTGTCCTTGACACAGCATCACAAGGCCCACAACAACCATGGTGGGTTTTAGGGCAACACCAAACACTACAACCAGCAAGGAGCAAAAGCAGGTCGCCGAGAGCTGCAGATGATCTCTTCCAGGCCCCGCTTGAACCAGCTCCGCAAATGACGCAGCCAAATGAAACAGAGGTGGAAGGCGAGCTGAAGGACACGGAGATGGAAAGAAACGAGGGCAACCGCGAAGAACCTGCAGACGACGAGAAGGGCGGCAAGCACGAGGAGGGCAAGTGAGTGCTGCAACAAGTTCACCTGAGCCAGAAGGCAACGGGAGTCAAGGTCTCACGTTTTTGAGGGGCAAGCCAACTACAGGTCTTCCTCCATAGACTACTAGTTCTTAGCTAGTACTTCTCATCCCTAGAAGACTCTCCTCCAAAGGCCCAAAAAAGAAATTGGCAAGACCCCTGATGTTTTCAGCACAGCCTCAATACTGCAAGGAGGCCAAGAGTACAAGGGGAAGCAGTTAAAACAGCTGTCTGCACAGTTACCCCACCAATGACGTGGCCAAAATACCAACAGGAAGCCAGGAAGGGTGCAGATAAGGGTGCAGATGTATCCTACATAAGCTGTTTTTCGCAGTTACCCCCTCAATGATGACAATGCACGCCTCCAGGCAAACGAACCAGCTGCCAAAACTTTGCCTATAAGTAATCCACAAGTGGTATTTGGCCAACCCCAATACTTTCAGGCATCCTTGAGATAGCACAACAAGCAAATGGAAGCCAAGAAAGGTGCATGACCAGGGAGTAGTTCAGTCCTCCATAAGCTGTTTCCGCAGTTACCCCATCTAAGATGACAGTGGGCACCAGCTGGCAACCATTATGTAGCCACCAGACCACTTCACAATGTGCTAACCACACTTTTCCTGCTTGCATAGTACTTTCAACAAAGGGATGTGGTCCACGGTGGCAAGTTCTCACCCCGCAAGGAAACGTCTTGCGGCCAAATTCAGAACGTGGGCGGTACGATATGAATACCCTATGCGACTACATTTTCTGTTTTGGCCCCCAAAGTGAAGCCCCCACTCTGAAATCACGAGGGGTTCCTAGCAGAGTCTGCCCAACACGGGCTGGGCATTGAAGCCCGGAGGTGAGATTCCTCTCGCCTCCATAGCCTGAACGAAAGAAAGAAAGGCTAGATTCTTGTTTGTTCAGTGTTTGTTCGCCTCGCATGCGTTTTCAGTTGAAGCTTTCTGGGGGAAGCATCACATGCGGGAGGACCTCGAGCGAACCGGGCAGGTCAGGCTCCAAGCTTTACGTGAAGACGGGCATCAGACTCATTAGACTTCAGATGTATACCTTGCCTACCCGAGTCTCCATTCATTATTCAAACGACGGCACCTTCCACATCAAATGTCACAAGGACCATGTCCGAGTCGAAGCTTGCTTGATGCGCAAGGCGACCCACCTCGCCTCCGGCCCCGTGGCGTAGCTACCTAGATGTCAACACAGGCGCTGGGGAGACATCCTGAGCATGATAGGTTGGGGAGGCTCACGCCTGGTTCGTGATTCCGGTCTCCAATTTGGCGGTCTGCTTTCATGGTAGCAAGCTGTCGTTTTTGGAAAGGGCTTTGGCTGGCTGTGTGACAGAGCGAGAGACTTTGGCTAGGCTGCTGGTACTACCACAATGAGGCCTGGTGCTCAGCTCGCTTCTTTGGCAGCCCCACGGTGAAGTCCCCCACGGTGAAGTCAAGTCCAAGATGTCCAAGCAGCCATGCAAGGGAAGGGAGATTCTCCTGCACAATAGCTGCCCTCATTCAAACAACATCTGCATGCGCACGCATTCGAGGGGCCTTGTGCTCAGGAGACCAATGTGACAACTTGGGATCTGTGCCGTCCCCGGTTTTCAGGATGTTCCAGCTGATATTCCGGCAGTCCACCTATGTCCACCTGTCTTCCGACAGCGCACGCAGAACCAGGATGGTGCTTGTCTGACGCGGTGCAGTGCCTTGTCAAAGTTCCAAGCATGAGGCCCACGGCCCTGATGCGTGAGCGGCCCCCAGAGCCTTTGGCCCCTTGGCAGCTGCTGGCCCACGCGCCCTCAGGAAGGTGGCCTGAAGCTCGGGAGCTGGGGAGGAAGCAAGCGGCCCGAGGGGAAGATCAGCGATGAAACACACCTGCTTGCACGCCTTGCGCACCAGCCTGCAGAGTCCGTCTCGGATGTCTCTGGCCTAAGCCCCTGCACCAAGGTACTACCACAATCGCAGCACCGGAGAGACCACTTGGGACCGTCCGGCACAAGCACTATCCTCGCGCCGTGCACGTCCAAAAAGTCACGCCGCCGAGCTCCAAGAGACTATGGGTGCTTGGAACTATGGATCATTGCATTTGCTGGGGTTCACTGGTGACTCCCATTTCATGACAATCGGTGCAGTGCCCGACATGTTTCGAATCGCTGGGCTGTTGAGGATTTGTGCAAGCATGTCATGATCAAGAAGTTGGGATCACGGAGTTACACGGAAAGAGACGTTTAGTCCAGCTAGGTGTGCATACAAAGGCACTGTGCTCGGATTGCGCAGTTTGCACGGTGCAGAATTTGTCGTTCGTTGCATGTGTGACCTAGCTCAGACTGTTCCGTGCATCAAAGGCTGGAATGGTGTTGATTCACGCAAAACCAGCTGCAAACATCAAACAACGCCCTCCAAGGTCCCTAAGCGCCGTGCCAAGAGTCCTCGCAAGCGGTCGCAGGTGAGCATGAGACTCCGAGGGTACTGATATGTTGTGCAGGGTGATGCATGACTGTTACCTGCTTGCTTGCAGCCAGTGGCATCGCGCAGGCACGGTCCCTTTGAGTCTGATGAAGTCCAGGCTATCGGGCCAGACTGCATGTTGCACGGCGCCATCAAGGAGTCACATCGGTTCATGGGCTCCAGACGGCCTGATGTATCACCACAGGTTAGTTCAAAAGGGTAAGACAGGAGCACTGCAATGAGGCGTCATACCTACGCAGCATGCCCTAATCGCTCTGTACGTCCGGCAAATAACTTATTCGGATTGTAACGCCTTTGACGCCTTTGAGTTTCCTTGTCTTGCCCTCGTGATTAGCGTGGCCTTGGGCCCTAATTGGCCTCGACTACCGGGCCGGGCTTGTCCAGCTGCCAGTTGCAGGTACGCCTCCGGAATAAGATTGCAAAACCTTCAAAGAAAAAAGAGCTGTAGTGCGAACTTTGTTCCGGGATAATTCGTTTTCCGCCAGCAAGGAATGCGCAGCGGGACATGAGTTGCTGATGACATGCCGCGGCGCTTCTTGGCTTGACTGCGCCAGAAAAGATGTTGCGCATGTTGTCTTTTGGCGTTTGGGGTAGGATGGCAGATGATGAAACATTTGCATCTTCGACATGACCTTTACTGGAAACTCACAGGAGAGGCACCTGATCGATGGCTGGCTCATTCAGCTGGAAGATTGACTGTAGGGAAAAGTAGAAGTGGGATGAACTCAAGAGGAGGACAATCTTGTTTTGTTTTGCGTTGCATTAGCTAGACACGTGAAGCAAGACAATGCCAATACATCAGAAAGACGATAAGGGTGCCTAGCATGGGATCCGCCACATCGGTCTCCGACAGCGGGGCCTTTAGCTCGGCTCTCTGGCAGCATTTGTGCAAGAGGAGCAGCTTCGAAATTCACCAAGACCCAAGTGGGTTTCCCTGACACACATGTGATCACTAGTGCCAGAAATCCCTTTTCCACCCGTTTTGGCTTCTGCACGCACGTTCCAAAGTTTCAGCCCCAGGAAGCTGCTAGAACTTCCTCTTTGGCATTCGGAAGGAAGCATGAAGAAACGGCCGTTTACTTCTCAAAGCACAGGACCTAAAAGAGGTAGAGGGATCGCTTGTGACTTGTCAATTAGGGTCGCTTGTTGACTACTTGCCGCGAAATGCAGAACTGTCACCTTTTTCGGAGCTTCGATCGTATGAACCTTCACAGTTTCCTGTGTTTACTCCTGCAAAGTGCAAGGCTGTCGCCGCTTTCGGAACCAAGAACTGATGTTGAATTTCCAAAGCCCCCTGCCTTGAACACTTCAATTTCGGAAAGTTGGACGAGTTATCAAAAACCTCAGAAATCTGCAGCCCCTGAGCCCGAAAAGGGTCCATTGCCAAGCCAGGAACACATCTGAGAACACAGTCACAAATATGCAAGGGTTTCACGCAGAAATGAGTTCCAGTTGTGCTCGATGACCCTCGACAAGCCAAATGAGGTCATACTGTACACCACCCCAGATCCCTAAATTTAAAGATTTTCTAGAACCCAAAAGTTTGAAACCGTGAGCCGCAGCTGAACACCCTGGACGTTGATCCAAGCCTCGAAAACCCAAGCATGCTACAGCCCATGGACTCTAAAGAGAGCACTCCATCGCCGAGCCGCTGAAAAACCCTTCTGTTGTTTTGTTGTGTGGAAAGGGCCCTTGTGCAAGCTCTGCAGTTACTAGTTCAGCCTGTAGGCCTACACACATGACCCTAAGCCTTGCACCCCAACTGCAGCAATGTGAAACAACGCCGTTTAAAATCCTAGTCCATCAACCCCAATCCCCAAACTCAAGCCCTAACCCAAACCCCGAACCCCAAGTTAAAGCCCTCACCCGTGCCGCCTTGTGACCTGGTCCTGATCCCAACCCAAAGAAGTCACGAGTGACGCCGGGCATTGTGCTATGACATGTAGCAAATTCGCGTTTTCGAGAAGTTGCAAGTGACCCTCCAGTGGAGAAAACTCACAATGACCTCCGGGAGAAGTCACAAGTGATCTCGCTCCCTGAGAGCGTCTGAAATGATCTCGAGATGCGATTCCTTAAATCGTATACATCTTCTGTGACTTCCTCCTCAGCCCATACAACGCCCATAGCTCAAACTTGAAGTTTGCCTGTAGGGAATTGTGATTGTCATCCTGTAGCATTGTTTGCTATCAGGTTTTTGTCAAAATTGCCCCGTAAAGTCATGAGGATGCATACTGGCGCGGCCCTGCACAGTCCCACTCTCTGGGTGGCCGCGATGCTGGCGCCCTGGTGCCTCCTGATGTGCTAGAGGGGTCTGATACACGACGTCAAGGTTTCTGTGCAAGCGCGGAGCATTGCTGACAGAAAGACTGAGATTTGCAGTGTTCAAGGTGAGAGCTGAGTTTTGTTGGCGGAGCTAGCTCCTTGTAATGACATGCTCGAAACACAGCAGACCCTCCCCCAAACCACAAGAATTGCCCACTAGGCGTGTGTGTGTGTGTGTGTGTGTGTGTGTGTGTGTGTGTCTGTCTGTGGGTGCAGCTTTTAGTTGACGGTTGACACACAGGCCTACCCGAGCTATGCGCCGTGGGGGACTTAACATGATCAGAACGTTCACAACTGGGCGGGTTATCGTGTCTTTGGGTGGAGATGTCACTGAAACAGTGCAGCGTTCTTGTTTGAGCTTGGGATCCGAGCTAAGATTATTTCTACAGGCCTCGGCAAGCAGCGAGGAAGTGCCGTGATGATGGACTGTTCAAAGCCGCCTTTCCGCAATCCAGGGGCCATCTTCCTTCTTCGCTGACGGGTCGATCGCTCAGCCAAGATGCCGGGGGATAGCCAAGAAATAACTTTTCTTCGGGTTTGGCCAGATTGGATCCACGTCGTACTTTCGAGTGTGCCGAACTCCTCCAATGGGCGTTGGAACATAATATAGAGTCTTGTTCTATCGCTCATGTATATGTTCATGCCTCACTTTGGTCATGTTGCAGGTCGCGACTACGTTTGAGCCTCGGATGGAAAGCGGTACATAGGGCGAGAAATGGCGAGAAGGAAAGAGTAGCAGGAGAGAGGAGAGCTCTCGTTTCTGAGAGCAAAAAGGTCCTCCCTTCCGAGTCGCTTCGCTTCGAGGCTCCGAAGGCTCCGAAGGCTCCAACAGGCCGTTGAGAGAGCTTTGTTTTGGCATGAAAGCAAATGAGAGAGAGTAGGGGTCTTTTTCCTCAAGCTGCTTGGATGCTTTGCCAGGGCTGCTGCCGAATCCTCATGGACCAACTCTTCAGCCGGGAGGTTCCGAATGCTGTCGCTGCGGAAAGATGGATTTGAGACCTCAGATGCTGCAGGATTGATGGCTCCCTTTTGGAATTTGGTCTGTGGTAGCCATGCGTTGCCGCTTTTGTAGTCTTACATTTCCGCCTTTTCCTGCCAAGTGAAGAGCATGCATTCACCTTCATAGGACTTGGGACATCGCGATGGCAAGAGTATAGCAAGGTTTGTGCTCACGTTGCCAATGCGAGCGACTAGATCGTATCTTGCAGCATTTGCAGCAGAATGCCCAGATTTTCACAATGCCGATGATTTGTCTTGAGGAAATCTTTGCATGTTGTGCTGATGACCGGCGTGCATGCGCAGTGGCACATGGTTCTGGCTGCTGCCATATCAAAAGAGGATTCTGAAAGCATTGTTGTCCCTTTGCATAGCCTGTCGCGTAGGCCTCTCCATCCAGCGGGATCCCGTGTACGAGCGCCAAGCGCTCCCAGTGCCCTACGGCCAGGGCGGGTTGGGATGGGACGAGGGATGTGCGACAATGGGCATATGTTTTGGATTGGCAGGCTCTTGGGTGTATACCTGATTCTTTGTCGCACATGAGCTTCCGAAGCGACATCATTAGCCCATGAATGAAAAGAAAGATGGAGAGATTGAATGCTTCTGATGCGATCAAAGAGAAAGGCTTTTCATGTAAGTAGGTTTTCAGGCCAGGTGATGTTGACCTGCTTGCACTGGTCACATTTGAGGCTAGCAATGGTGTTAGCAAAGCCTGGGCAGCAGAGCTCATGCAAGGTCATAAGACCTAGCAAATTGGTTTGCTTCTCTGCAGCTCCGCAGGGCTATCTGCAGGCGGAGATGGACGCATGGGTTCGCGCTTTCTCCCTTCGAACATGCCCAACCCAGGATGCAGTTCATCCTTTTGCAGCTTCCTTTGCCATGAATATCACGGACATCAGGTGAGGTACAAATTGAGTTTCTGCGAGGGCCTAGCAGCATAGCAAGGAGATCTCCGTTCTAGGGGCATGGAAACGTAGAGTCTGTCGATTGGGTACTGTACACTGAATTTGGCTGTACGTAAAGTGGGAATATTGCGACAATGTCACTACTTAGTCTCAGGCTTCTGCTTTGATTGCTGGGCTTCTTGCTGCTGAGCCATGTCGGTCAGGACATGACTTTGGAGAGGCACCGTTTCACCAGACAAAGCTGCGACCCAAGAATCGGCAGCGGCACATCTAGGTCTTGTAACTAGAGTTGCTACTGTCGAAGATTAGATGTATCAGTGTTGGTTGAAATCAGCAAAGGGCTCAGCTTCCACATTGTCTCAGTGAGGTTTTCACGCCTGGATTTCAACGCTGGCATCGAGTTTGACGCGAGATGGCCGTCAAGTGCGCCCCGCATTTTTCTTAGCTTAGGAAATGCTCAACCAGCAGGACTTGAAGTGTTGTCTTAGCTGTTGTCCTTGGTCTGCAGGCCCGTTCAGCTACAAGGTGGAGGCCCCGGGCCAAACGCCCCTGCCTTTGCCGGGGAGTCTGTGCCTCAACAACTTGGGCATGTTCTGGTGACATGGGCCAGCACAAAGGTGGCCCCAACAGATTTCCAAAGCCCTCGCGAAAATTGCTTCTTCCTGCTGAGGTTTTCCTAGTAAGCCCTTCACACTGCTCATCTTTGACTGGGTCAGTCGCCCAGTGGATAGGGCAATGATGGAAATGTTTGGAGCGCGACGCGGTTCAGGGTTTAACTAGGGTTTAGGGATGTCGTTCCATTCAGGACAGGGCTTTTATGATTGGGGATGAGCATAGGTGGCTCCCCAGCCGCAGGACTTCAACATCCAAATCCTCCTAGCAGCCAATACTTCTGTTTCAGTTCCAGCCATGCAGTTGGTGAAAGCCACTGCTGCTACAGCCATGCTGTCAAGCACCTGGGCAATAGCAGCGACAGCACACCCCTAGCTCCGTGCGCCAATCTAAGCAGTCAAGATGCACTGTGATGTCTTTGCAAGGAAGCTTGCAAGTCTGCTGACACCCAATCGAAACCAAACATGATGGTTTGTTCTATACATCAAGGATGACACGCTGATGTGCAGCTCTGCCATCAACGCCAATGAGTTCCTGCACTCGACCCAGTGATACACAATCTTGCGATTCCAGTTTGCAGTGCCCTGCTTTCCGTGCTGGCTTCCTTTTTTAGGCCTCATCAGTACAGCCAGTTGGAGAGCCTCGTCGAGCAGGCTCGCAGGATGTTCCAAAGATATTGTGGATGGTTTAACAAGGGTGCAATTGGGAGATCCGAGCGGTGGACACTCGGAAGTTCCGCTGTGACGCTCAGCTGGGCATGGGCACCCCAGGTACTTTTGACGGCCATGCGCCTTGGGGAGACCTGCATCGTGACCAACGCAGACGAGCAAGGGTCTCAGGAACGCATGCCAGTGAAGCTGCACGAAGAGGTTATGAAATGCTATGTTTGACGTTTTGGCTATGGTGCGACGTGATCAGGATGTGGGTCACCGAGAGTGCCCGGCGCTACATGCCACGTGTCCTTCCGATTCTGCCGGTTTCCCGGGGCAAACCGACTTTGCTGGAACGGTTTGTCAGATTTTTATTCCAAGCAACGTGTCAAGAGAGAATCTAAAGGTGTTGGCAATTCAACCTTGCATGAGAATGACATGATTTGTTTTTGGTTGGGCTTGCTGTTGTGAGGCCCGGGGCGCAATGCTGTCATGTTCCTTCAGATGACTCCTGCATTCAAACGTAAACTCCAAGTCCCGCGAGTGGGGCCCAGAAGCTGCACCAATGCTGCACCAGGTCGCGCATGACTGTGGTGTCCGCGCGGCGGCGGTTTGACCCTTGAGCCGCACCTGCTTGAGAAGGAGTAAATCGGGTAAAGTGCGTTTCAGTCAACCTCCGTTGCTGTCGGCCACCCGACCCAGTTGGCCCCCCAATGCCAGAGAACCAGCCCGCACTAGATGGAATCATGCCTTGCTTTCAGGGTTTAGGGGGTTTAGGGTTTGCCGGCCTTCACTCCTTTGCGTTCTTAGAGTTTGTTTAGGAACACATCAAGGCTCTTCAGGCCTTGCGAGCCATAGGCGCCGGAGCAACCATCACTCGCTTGGGTATGTTGGGGTAGGCTGTTGAAGCTTTGTTAAATTCTTAACGAGTGCTGTGCATCCACAGTGTGTTGCTGTTGAGAGAGATGATGTGTCAGTCGTGCCACAATTGGTCAGTGAACTTCATCTCAGGAGCGCACTTGGCCTGGTGATGTCTTTGCCTGGAAGCGGGAGGCTTTCCGACAGGCAAAGCTGCTTGCCTGCTTGCCAGCTCGAAGCTTTAACACGGGCATCTCTGAAGCGCCGGGCTGCGCAGGTCCTGTCGTCGTGGCAGGCAAACGCCTTGGCTTCTGGGGGCATTGACCTGAGCCAGTGCCCTAGAAGTTGCGTTGAATGTGCGCTTAACGCCTTCCCGGGGAAATGGTTGCCGTGGCAGTTGTTCTCGGCGACTCCATAGTGGAGATGGAAGCCGCAGTGGCCCCAGATGTTGTTGAGGGAAGTATGATGATGACTGTGATGGAGAGAGTTTTGAATTGCCACATCATTGTGCTCGCTTCGGTCCATCGATTTCGCGAGGCGCACACCTCCTCTGCGGGCATCGTCTCGCCGACGGCTGTCAAGACTGTTCCCTGGCGTGCAAGAAGATTGCAGGATGGACCGTCTACGGCCGCAGCGGCCGAAGGGGGTGGGGGCGGGGGCTGGGGGAGCGGGGACACGATCCTGAAGCCAAGGGCCAAGATGAAGGAAGGGTCGGATCTTCAATCATCGCAGGGGGTTAGCTGTTATGCTTGCTAATATGGCTTCGAAGCACCTTTTCATCAAAGGGCGTAGCGGTTTTGCAGCTTGACGCTGAAGTTTTCGGGATGCCTTTGCGGTCCAAGCTATTGGAACCTTTTGGAATCAAGCCTCAGACCAGAACAAACACACTATTGCCCCTGATCCTCGCTAAGCCTTGAAGGAGGTCGTTCCGCACGGAGCATCACTCCAAGTAGAAAACGCAAGGCCACGGGGAAATCAAGCGCAACCCTCAAAGTCCTTAACTTGCAAAGACTTCTCAAGCTTTTGAGGTGAAGTTCAAGGAGGTGCCAACCGTGGAAGAGCTCCTGGAGCAACTAGCAATGATGAACCAGGCTTCCTCTCTGGGGCATACCGCAGTCAGAGTCCAGAGCGAACACCATAGCCCGCAGCCTCGAGGAGCTTGCCTCCATCGTTGCAGATGACCGGAGCAGCTACAGGCCCGTGCAAACCCAGCATGAATCTGATACAAGCATGTGTGAGCAACATGCCTCCCCGTCAACATCGGGTTCACCTATGGCCGATCTGCGCAACTCAATCCAAGCCTCCAAGCCATGCCATACATTGATGCTAATTACAATCCTCTTGAGCTCATATTTACCGCAGGATATGAGTAGGCATGCATTGTAACATGGTGCCTGCGGGAGGAACTTAGCCTCTCGGCTGTCCGGTTTTGGGGCGTTGCCCCTCGGCCGCACTGAGAGTGAGGCTGTCAGCATTTTGACGAGATTTATTGTGGCATGCGATCAGCCACGGTCAATTTTTTGCTTTGGGAGGCCACTGATGTCGGTTTTGTTGCATCAGGAAAGCTTGCGAGCAGGGACCAAAAAGGTTTTTCTAAGGCTGTAACGCGCTTGGCTTAATGCTGAGTGAACCGGTCTCTGATGATTGTTTGATGTTCTGTTGGCCAAGGTCTTCCCCAACGAACAGGCCAGGCCCTGGAACTGGCATGCTTGTGTTGCAGTCATCAATGTTGTCAGCAGGCGATGCTGTAGCGGTGGCTTCTGCTGAGGCTGCCGGACACCGCCTACGGCACCATGTCGATGAGCTCGTACAGTTACCTTGGCGTGCGGTCACTCAGACTTTTGATTTTCAACACCCTTGGTGGCCCGCCCCTGACCCCATCATCGGCACATCTGACATTGGCTTGCCTAGACCCTGTCTGACCACGCGCCTGTCTTGCAAGCTCAAACTTCAAATCAAGACATTCCTCAATGACGTCAGGTGCCGCTCTCCGTGCCCTGAGACCGCCTTGAGCCCAGTGAGGCAGGAGTGCACTTCCGCTCAACAATGCTGCTTGATACGTTCGTGCTTTCAAGATGCTTTGGAGCGTGAGGGTTCAGGCTGCTTTTATCGAGGGCTAGACCTGAGCTGTGACTTTGCACTGGCCATGAAATCTCTTCAAATAGATCGAGGTAAAAGCTGTGCATCCTGCACACACAACGGCCTAAACAGTTTGTAAGTACGTAGACACTAGTCATGGGCATTGTGTGAAGGGTGCTGGGTGTGCTGAAATGCGATTTCAGCAAGCTCTCCAGTTTTTCCGAAGCAGCCTTTATTTGCAACCTTCCAGGAGCCAACGCTTTTGCTGCACAGCTGAGCTTTTCCAGCTGAGGTCGAGGCTGCGCGCTGCAGTGATCTCAGTGGCTTGCGACTTGGCATTGCACTTGCCATTGATGGTCCTGTGTAGAGCACAGGTTGACCAGATGAGAGAATCAGTTTGCATCGAATGAGGTTTCTCTCTGCTTATTTGCCATGTCAGCTGTGTGTCGGTCATACGGACACTGTTGCCAGCACGTCTGCTCTAGTGTTTCGACAGAGCAAGACGACAGGAATAATCTACTTTTGCTCTTCTTGGCACCACTGCTCCCGAAGGTGAGCATGTTCTGTCCAGGCGCCCAAACTTTCCCACTCAACCATCCCAGCACCTTGTACAGCATCTTTGTACACGTTTGGGCTCCTATTTCGATCCAGCCTCTGTCGTAGGAAGGTTTTAGGCTGCGCAATGTCGCGTTATGTGCCCAGCTTCTCTTGGAAGCCCGGGACTTTCAATCATTTGGCTGGGCCTGCCCTTTGCCGAGACTTGGCTGGTCCCCTATACCCTAATCCCCAGCCACGTTTCTGCCATTTCTGCTTTGAATGTCTTCTTAGGATGCCAGGCTGTGCGGTGATCATTTGCTGGTACATTGCCTCGGGTTTTGTACTACATGCCCCAGCCTGCCATATGTGTTCGCCACAAACTTGATAGCTCATGGCTCGGCAAGGCAAAGCTGCTTTCGTCCGGATTGTATGGATTTCCTAAGAGGTTCTCTTCAATAGTTCAAGGACAGTTCCAGGTGGGTAGTTACCCTTATAAGGGGCCTATATAAACCTCATATAGGCC